GAGGTCATGACTTGAGTCAAAACCAGGAGTTGGATGCTAACTGACTGAGCCACCCATGTGCCCCTCCAGGGTTTTTAACAAAATATTTTATTTATTTATTTATTTATTTATTTATTTATTTATTTATTAGAGAGAGAAGGAGTGGGGGAGGGGCAGCAGGAGAGGGAAACTCCCCATTGAGCAGGAAGCCAGACACGAGGCTCTATCCCAGGACCCCAGGATCACGACCTGAGCCTAAGGCAGTTGCTTAATCTACTGAGCCACCCAGGTGCCTCCAGGATTTTTTTAAAAAAGATTTTATTTATTTATGCATGAGAGACACACACAGAGAGAGGCAGAGACACAGGCAGAGGGAGAAGCAGGCTCCCTGCAGGGGGCTCAATGGGGGACTCCATCCCAGGACCCGAGGATCATGCCCTGAGCCGAAGGCAGATGCTCAACTGCTGAGCCACCCAGGCATCTCTAGAACTGTTTTCCACAGCAGCTGGACCGTCATACATTCCCACCAGCGATATACAAAGCTCCAATCTCTCCACCTCCCTGCCAACACTTGTTATTTTCCATTTTCTTTGATTATCACCCTCCTGGTCGGTGTGACGCGGTATCACTCATGGTGGTTTCGATTTGCATTTTCCTAGTGACTAATGACGTTGAACATTTTTGCACGTGCAGATTAGCCCTTGTGTATCTTCTTCGGAGAAACATCTACTCATGCCCCTTGCCTAGTTCTTAACTGGGTCCTTGGTGGTTTTGTTGTTGTGAGAATTCTTTTTATCCTGGTAGTAAATGGATCTCACTCTTCACTTAGACTTCCTTATTTTCCCACATCAGAATCATTCTTGAGAGTCTCAGGTTCTATTTTCTGAAAACCACTTCAACCTCTTCTTTTCTCTCACCCTCTTTACTTTGGGAGACCACTGCGTCTCACTTGGGGTAATGTTGTAACTTCTGGACTGGGTTTCCTGCCTCCAGTTGGAGGCTCCTGCTCTGCTCCGGTCTGTACTCTGCAAGTGTCGTGGCCAGGGCTTTCGGAAGCACAGACGGGGTAATGTCACTCTTCTGCTATAAACCCTTCAGCGCCTTTCATTGTTTCAGAATAAAATGTGCATCGATAACATGGCCTAAGAGATGCTTTACGATCTGGCCCTACTTTTCTCTTCTCACTTCCTCTTCACACTCTCCCCTCTAAACCTCTGCTTCAGTCACAGTGAGCGCTGCAGATCCCAGGACCACAGGACACTGGCACTTGGCTCCAGGTCTTACATGTGTTTCCTGTGTGTCCCGAATGCTGTCCCCCATTCCTTTACCCCTGCTCACTCATGCTCTACCTCCAGGTCTTAGCTGGGATAACAGTTCCTCTGGAAATCCCTCTCTGGTCCTTCTTGACAGCTACCTCTCTCTTGTGCTCCCACAGTTCCCATAACATAATCTTGGGGATCAGTCTGTCTGTTATGGGCGTATCAGTCTGAGGACCAGCTTTGAACAAATTTGGTGACTGAGGCAAAGTGGATACTTAATAAATATTCATAGGATAGAAGATCTCTATGTTCAATTTGCATATAGTAGATACATCACAAAACCACAATGCCCTGCCACAACTAAGGCAATGCAACGCAATACAGAGAACATGGTGTTAAATATATTGAAATATAGCAATAGCCTGTCCCCAAACTCAGTTATCTGATTGGCTGAGCGGGTTGAGGAAGGCAGCACGTCAGCTAGCTTCTTAGTCACTGTCTGTGGAGTCATGGTGGTTTTAGCAAGTCCTGTGAATTGAAGTTTTGCTTTGAAAATTTTGTGGAGGGAGGTGGGGGGAGTTGTTGCAGTTACGTACAAACTTATGTTTCATACCTGACAAAACTGATCTGTTCAGGATGATCCATTGCAAGGAGAGGGAGGATAAGGAAATAGGGTTTGTTTTTATTTTTTATTTTTATTTATTTTTTTAAAAAAAGATTTATCTATTTATTTATGATAGACATAGAGAGAGAGACAGGCAGAGACACAGGGGGAGGGAGAAGCAGGCTCCATGCTGCGAGCCCGAAGTGGGACTCGATCCCGGGACTCCAGGATTGCGCCCTGGGCCAAAGGCAGGCGCCAAACTGCTGAGCCACCCAGGGATCTCTCTCTTTTTTTTTAAATTAAGTAATTAATTTATTTATGATAGATATATATAGAGAGAGGCAGAGACACAGGAGGAGGGAGAAGCAGGCTCCATTGTTTTTAATTTTATGAGAAAAATAGCAAAGTCACTCACTGGCAGCTTTGAATTTGCAATTTGTAGGGTCAGGGTTTTCTCTTCTGGTAGGAAATAATTGAGGTTTCTCTATTTCTCCTCTTTTAGAGTCATCTTGTTATTAATATCTTACGTTTTGCATTCTCCTTTGTTGGATCTTCAACTCTCTTTTTTTCAAGAGGGTTTATAGCCTGAGAAAGGAGCCCAGGCCTCATCTATGAATTCAGAGTACTGTTAGCGCACCCCGCCCATGACTAAAGTGTAAAGGTTTGTACGAACTGCCGAGCACACGGGAGATCTACCAGCATGTGCTCATTAGATCTCTGAGACTAACTCACTTGGGAGAGCGAGCCTTTCTTCACGGTGGAGGCCCCCAAACCTGCGTGGGGCGAGACCCGCCACCTCTGCCAACCCCAGGTGTGGGGCTCCGTCTGGGGCCTTGTAATGGCACAGCTTCTCCTAGTATGGGGCGCTCTTCTCATCTCCTCCCCTGTGAAATGCCCTTATTAAACAGAAGTAGGATGAAATCCTACGGAACTCTTAGATGGGGAGTTTCAATCCAGATCTTTGGTAATGAAGGGATTAGGGGTGAGACTAGAGTTTAGGAGCAGCAGCAGAGATAAAGAGTGTCCCCTTGATCCGCTTCACCACGACAGGAAAGCACAGCGAGTCCTGACCCCTCCGGCCCGCAGCGGGCTTAGGGCGCCCCCGGAGCGGGGAAGAGGGGACCCTGGGCGCCAGGCGTGTGGGTCCCCGGAAGCACGGCTGCCCGAGCAGAGACCACGCGGAGACCGGGACCCCGGCCCCGACCCCGACCCCGCTTCCCCGCGCCGCTGCGGTGTCGGGACGTTTTCCGCCGGGAGAGGGAGACGGGTCCCCGCAGCCTGACGCCGCCGGGCTCCTCTCCGCGAGGGGGGGGGGGTCGGCCGCCGCGCAGCCCGCGGGACCCGGAGATGCTCCGCGGGTCGGGGGGTGCGGGGAGGGTCGCGGGCCGGGAGGATGCTCCGCGGGTCGGGGCGCGGGGCCGGGAGGATGCTCCGCGGGTCGGGGGGTGCGGGGAGGGTCGCGGGTCCGGGAGGATGCTCCGCGGGTCGGGGGCGCGGGGCCGGGAGGATGCTCCGCGGGTCGGGGGGTGCGGGGAGGGTCCGGGTCCAGGAGGATGCTCCGCGGGTCGGGGGCGCGGGGCCGGGAGGATGCTCCGCGGGTCGGGGGGTGCGGGGAGGGTCGCGGGTCCGGGAGGATGCTCCGCGGGTCGGGGGGTGCGGGAGGGTCGCGGGTCCGGGAGGATGCTCCGCGGGTCGGGGGCGCGGGGCCGGGAGGATGCTCCGCGGGTCGGGGGGTGCGGGGAGGGTCGCGGGTCCGGGAGGATGCTCCGCGGGTCAGGGGCGCGGGGCCGGGAGGATGCTCCGCGGGTCGGGGGCGCGGGGAGGGTCGCGGGTCCGGGAGGATGCTCCGCGGTCGGGGGGTGCGGGGAGGGTCGCGGGTCCGGGAGGATGCTCCGCGGGTCGGGGGCGCGGGGCCGGGAGGATGCTCCGCGGGTCGGGGGGTGCGGGGAGGGTCCGGGTCCAGGAGGATGCTCCGCGGGTCGGGGGCGCGGGGCCGGGAGGATGCTCCGCGGGTCGGGGGGTGCGGGGAGGGTCGCGGGTCCGGGAGGATGCTCCGCGGGTCGGGGGCGCGGGAGGGGTCGCGGGTCCGGGAGGATGCTCCGCGGGTCGGGGGGTGCGGGGAGGGTCGCGGGTCCGGGAGGATGCTCCGCGGGTCGGGGGGCGCGGCGCCGGGAGGATGCTCCGTGGGTCGGGGGCACGGGACCGGGAGGATGCTCCGCGGGTCGGGGGCGCGGGTCCGGGAGGATGCTCCGCGGGTCGGGGGTGCGGGGAGGGTCGCGGGTCCGGGAGGATGCTCCGCGGGTCGGGGGGCGCGGCGCCGGGAGGATGCTCCGCGGGTCGGGGGCGCGGGGCCGGGAGGATGCTCCGCGGGTCGGGGCGCGGGAGGGTCGCGGGTCCGGAGGATGCTCCGCGGGTCGGGGGGTGCGGGGAGGGTCGCGGGTCCGGGAGGATGCTCCGCGGGTCGGGGGGCGCGGCGCCGGGAGGATGCTCCGCGGGTCGGGGGCGCGGGGCCGGGAGGATGCTCCGCGGGTCGGGGGGCACGGGACCGGGAGGATGCTCCGCGGGTCGGGGGGGCGCGGCGCCGGGAAGATGCTCCGCGGGTTGGGGGGCGCGAGGGGGGGCGCTGGGGGGGGTCGAGAGCTCAGCCGAAGCCCGGGACCTCCCCAGGCTACCTGCCGCCGCGTCTGCCCGGCTGCTGGCGCTGCTGTTAACCTTGAGCCGCCGGCTGGGACCGTCGCTGCTCGGATCGCTGCTTGCCTTCTGACGGTGCGCCGCAGACACCCTCTTTGAGATCTTTCTCTTTTTTTTTAATTTTATTTTTTTTATTGGAGTTCAGTTTGCCAACATATAGCATATCACCCAGCGCTCATGCCGTCAAGTGCCCCCCTCAGTGCGAGATCTGACTTTAGGATGTGTCCATATCCGGCTTGTTAGTATCGAATTTATCTCGGGTTTCTCAAATGCTTAGCTTTTTTTTTTTTTTTTTTTTAATGCGGAGGATAAGAAAAATACACTATCGTAAAACTGGAATCCAACCTCCCCCCACCACCTTTTTTTTTTAAATTTATTAATTCATGAGACTGAGACACACACAGAGAGAGGCAGAGACACAGGCAGAGGGAGAAGCAGGCTCCATGCAGGGAGCCCTACGACGTGGGACTCGATCCCGGACCCCGGGGTCATGCCCTGGGCGGAAGGCAGACGCTCCACCGCTGAGTCATCGGGCTGCCACCTTTTTAAAAAAGACATTAACTGGGATCAGTGAAGAAACAACGTCCCGTGGAAGGTATGCTGTTGAGCTCAAAAGAACCCGGGTTTTCTGAAACCCTAGGATTTGCAGCGTTAGCAGCATGTGGGTGTCAAGTAAACCACTTACCTTCCATTTCCTCACCTGTAAAATGGGAATAAGTCACGCATTTTCATTCGCGGGAGTGTGTGAGACCTCACTTGAAGTCACATACTTGGAAATTTTCTGTAAAAGGAAGAGCTATATAGACATAAACTATTATTGAATCACAATTTATTTTTTTGAACTTTGTATAATGTTTTTGGGAGAAAACGATAAATGATCATTGTAAAGCAACCCAAACAGTACTCAAAGCTTCAGAAAGAAACGTAAGTTCCTTGAAATTCCACTATCAAGAAATTATTGCTGGGATCCCTGGGTGGCGCAGCGCTTTAGCGCCTGCCTTTGGCCCAGGGCGCGATCCTGGAGACCCGGGATCGAATCCCACGTCGGGCTCCCGGTGCATGGAGCCTGCTTCTCCCTCTGCCTGTGTCTCTGCCTCTCTCTGTCTCTCTGTGTGTGTGACTGTCATAAATAAATTAAAAAAAAGAAATTATTGCTGTTAACATCTCAGCCGACCTTCAGACACCCCCACATGCCTGCATATGCATATGTATACAGTGCCTCAAAAATGGAATTTGAAAAAAGATTTTATTTATTTATTCATGAGAAACACACAGAGAGGCAGAGACACAGGCAGAGGGAGAAGCAGGCTCCCTGCAGGGAGCGCAATGTGGGACTGGATCCTGGGACAAAGCCAGCCGCTCAACCACTGAGCCACCCAGGCATCCCTCAAAAATGGAATTGTATTATACATTCTATTATTTAAATATCTCCCCCCCCAACATTGCATAATATAGCTAGCATTGTCTACCTTTAACAGGCTTCTATGTGGAATCCTTCCTTAATCTCACAGCAATGACACTGTGAGAATTTTTATTGAGTATCACTGAGTATGAATTTTTATTGTAAAGACAGGGAACTGAGGAGCAGAGATGTGAAAGAGATTTCCCCATTCCTGCAGTTTCATGTAATTTTACAATTAACATATTTGCTTCCACTTACAGCTTTTCCCACTTTTATTATTATCTCTTGGGCACCTGTTTGTTAGACAGTAGCAAAATTAAGAAGGCTGCTTGTTTAAAAATATCAGTTCTCACACCTACGGATCTCTGGGGAAAGAGACCCAGGAGTTGGGAATTTTTAAACAAGGTCTCCTCCCTGGTTGTTATGTGTACAGTCATGTCTGAGAACCACAACCTTGGTTTAAATTCCTAGGTTGGGCTTACTGGATTGATTCTGAATTTGAGACCTAATGCCGAACTGCCTTCCAGAAATGTCATACCAGTTTACATTCCCACAAACAGTGTGTGACTAATTTGGCTTCTTTTGTTTGGGTCTCTGTGTTCTACGATATTACCTTGTAAATGACTTCTTATTTGTCATCAGGACAGTAACCTACTTGTAGGCCACTTTGTGCGTGTGTGCGTGCCTGTGTGCGTGTGTGCGCATGCCTTCCTTAAAGTTTTAACTCAAGGTTGAGCACTTTCCTTCAAGCTCATCAATCATTTTATGGTTCTCAGGACCGTATCCGCATATTCTGTTCCCGGTATCAAGTCTGTGTCTCTCATCTCTTCAGTGCCCTCCCTTATGCCCTGCTTCTTGTCTGGTCACCAGGTCCTCGTCTGTCGTCAGAGCAGTGACACCTACTTTTCCAAAAACTATACCGAATAAATGAAGGCATAAATTCTGCATAATTAGCCCTTACAGATGGAAAACAAATTCTGGTTCTTTCCACAAGAAGTCAACTACTATTTACCCTCCGCCCCCTGTTTGATCTTCCTCATTCATCCAGTTCTTAGTTCCAGAATCTTTCTAATTCTCCAAAAAATCTTAACCCTACCAGCCTCCAGCCTCCCCGTGTCAAAACTAAAATCCTCCCCCTTGGCCACATGAACATTGTTCCTTTCCTGAACCCTATATTTTATTAAGCAAGATTCTCATCAGATTCAAGTTCTAAATACAACTCTTTTTTTTTTCTTTTTCAAAAATTATCTTCCTCTTACCTGGGAAATTGGGTTTCTTTTCATTTCTGTGGTCTTGAAGTAAAGATCTATTTTCTCTCCTAAAGGAGACAGACTCTTTTTTTCCCCCTTACTAATTAATTGACAACCCTTAACAGCTAAGCTTTAGACATCTAACAAGTTATACACAAATATCAGCCTAAGAGAATGTGTACTCTGGAATATTCAGTGGGAGAGTGAGTCATCTCAGTCAATATAAAGTTTACATTATTCGGTTATAACAATAAGTATTTCTAATTGTCTATGGCTTAAAAAGACCTTCAAATAAATGTACAGAGAATAAAGCCATATATAATTGGACATGGGTAGATTAGCTGTACTTACTATTGCTCGAAATGTATATGGAAATATTTTCATCTAAGTGCATTTATTCAAGTAAGAGCTCACATTCTAATACAGATTTCTGAACTCAATCGTTCCATAGAACGTTTTGGATCAGAGGATTTTTTTTGTCCACGAGTGAGAACCTTCATGTGAAAGGAAAATGGGGTAATATGAGCAGATAGTTGGACTGGAATCCCAAAACGCTCCCTCCCTTTCTCTGAGTATTTGTTTTTTTCTTGGGCCTGTGTCTATGCGCTCCATAAAGATAATGATTCTAAATTCCAAACGTCCATTGAAGATATCATGTAAGAATCTGAAGAAATAAAAGAAGTGCATTATTTCTACTTTCTAGAGAAACACTCTGTGCAACGGTGGTTTAGATGAAAAGCTATACGCACCTACATGTGGTCATTCAAATCATGTGTCAGACTTCCTCAAAGTGGGGTCCCATGCTCACAGGGACGCTGGTAGGTTTCAGGGGGTAGTAAACGCTATTCTGTGATTTCTAGTTTTGCTACTTTTATTTCTCAGCATTTCGCCTGCACCAGTCTGCCCTCATTCTGGCGTGGTCCCAACCTTGAGAACATTGAATTCAAATGAGCACAGCATTGTCTCAGAAACGTGGCTAAGTCATCTTCAGACCCATAATATTTGGCCTGAAATTCTATCAGGACACCTCCCAGACCTTAACTTGATAAAAATCACAACCTCCTTCAGGAACTATGGACCGTATTCTGGTTTCAGAAGAGGAAACCAAAACCTTTTGAGCTGTATCCCCTTACTGTCTTCCCTGAGAAAACAATCCAGTGTTCTGCCTACAAAGGACTAATTTGACTAATTTTTTTTTCCCCTTCCTTGGCAGAACCTTTTATTGAACTGATTGAAATGACCAGATGTTTGGGCAGCTTATGTAGACATAATCTAAGAGGCTCAATAATTGACTTAAGTAAACGTATCAGGATGTGGATTGGCAATAGTATCGGGGATTCTCTGTGCTGTGATGCCTTCAAATCCCCTTTTAAAAGGCAGGCTGCTTATGTGATTGAAATGCACAGAGATTGGCACCACCTCATTCATATACTTCGGTAATTTACAGCCTATGGAGCTCTGAGCATCCCTGTAACTTTTGAAAATAAGCAAGGAAAAGCATTAGAGATCTATCGAGATTGTCCTTGAGCTGTGTCCTCGAAGGGAAATGAAATACTTCTCTGCATTAAAGTCTCCAGATGAAAAAAAATTGGAAGCAAAATTTCATTTGACTCAGATTATCTAAACAAACAAACAAACAAACTATGATGTTTGCTTTTTTCCTAGTTTCTGGGCGTTTTAGATGAGAGTGTTGAATACCAGAACTTTCCACATTGTTTTTTGTGTGATAATTTATCGAAGAGTCTTATTTTTATTATTTATTATGATTTTGCTTGAGCACATTTTGCTGTGCTGTAATCTCTACTGATAATAAAAGTATTCTCTGTGAATAGCTCACAGGGGCCAATTTTCTCTTGAAAGCCAATCATCGCAAGAAATATTTCAAATTAGAATTTATTTATTAGAAAAGGAAATTCTCCTGGCTGTCTCAGTTAGTTGAGCGTCAGACTCTTGATTTCCACTCAGGTCATGATCTGGGGTCCTGGGATCGAGCCCCATGTTGGGCTCTGCGCTCAGCATGGAGTCTGCTTAAGGATTTCTCTCCCTCTCCTCTGCCTCTTGCCCGACTTGTGCGTGCGTGCTCTCTCTTAAATAAATCTGTTGAAAAGAAAAAAGAAGAAAGGTGAGGATAGATTAAAAAAGAAGAAAAAAGAAGAGGAAACTGTCTATATGCCTTTCTGTGCACGAAAGCCTGCCAACCGAGGCTGAGCCCAGGACAGAAGTATCCTGCAACTGGCTGGGCCACTTGGCTCCATTTCCCCTCTTCTCCTGAGATGAAGGCTTTCTTTTGAATTTGTTTAGCCAACAAATCCTTTTTATTTTTTTAAAATTTTATTTATTTATTTTTTAACAAATCCTTTTTAAAAATTCCTCTTGCCCACCCATCTCTTCAATTCCTCTTAAAAAAAAAAAAAAGTTTGCAGCCTGTGCACCCAGGCAGGTGTGCGGAGGCCACCCTTTTGCTTAGATCTAGGTAGGTGCTTAGCGCCTGGGTGCGGGTTTTCTACAATCTCCTTCTTACGAATCCAGGGAGCAGAGAACATCACGTTCCCTATCGGGCACCCTGCACCCCGTGTTCTTAGTAAATGCTGTTCTGTCCCAGCTAATGGCAATCACACCGGCGGAGTTCTGCAACCATCCGAGGCTCTCAGGGCTGTTGTTTTACCTTCCTGTGTCCAGAAGGCTGACTGGCCGGCCAAGCCTCTCCCTGTGCCTGCTGACATGGGAGCCTCCTGTCTGTGCTAACAGGCGACACGAGTGCCCACCTGCTCCGTGCTGGTTCCCCAGAATCCTGCCTCTCCGGCCTGCAGACTGGCCCCTGAGAGAGGAAGATGACAAGTCATGAGAGACCCTGCTGAGGTCCTCCTAAGGTAAAACAGAGAGGAAAATATTTGACAAGATGATTTGAATGAGATGTCACCCAGTGGTTGCGGGATCATGGTATTTACTTATTTATTTAAGCAGACACCCCCCACCCCAAGCAACAAGTGTAACTGAGCCAGCGTCTTGTGATGTGCGGGGGAGAATGATTGACTCCTGCAGATGTGCTGGGGCTGTGGCGGGAGGCGCCAGATGTTAAGCAGCACTTGGGGACTCTTGGTGGCCAGGCCATCTCCTTTGTGGTTCACAGTAGTCACCCGCTCCGGCACCTCCTCCACTCTATTTCTCGCTTGATCTCAGCTTTTGAACGTGGAGCCCGAACCAATCCCAGTCGCATGTGAGACAGCAAAGGCCCTGACGCTTTCTGAAACTGCAGTTTTATTTTGTGATGGGTTTTGGGACCCAGTTGCTGCTTTTACTGAACTGAAGGTCAAGGTGGTGGGGGGACTGGGGTTGCGGTGGGGGGACTGGGGTTGCGGAAGCAAGAGCCTGGCACGCACGCTCATCCGTGGAAGCCTCCAGCAGACCTCCCAGTTGGCTGTCATCACCCACACGTGACTGTTGGAGACCAGAGGTCAGAGGAGTTACCAAGTGACTGGGTGGGGACGGCACCCCGACTGGCCTAGCCCAGGGGTTCCTTCTGCTGATGGCCAGTGCACTACTCCCCTGTGCACTGAGAAGCACCTTTTCTCTCTGCTTGTAGCTTCCCCCTTAGTGAAGGGTTAAAAATGTGAAAGCCAGGGATGCTCTAAACTTCCGTGTGTCTTTTCACCGCATCATGACGACGACGGGAGAGGTGACATTTTATTTTCCTGGCTATGTCCGTCAGCTGAGAGAGAATCGAGGCGCACAGGCTGTTGGCAGAAATAGGGCTGTTCAAGGTCAAGGATGACACCAGTAACAGAGGGACCGGACGAGCAAAACAAATGATTTTAATCTGTGTACCAAACGTCTCAAATTTTTGGAAACATTTGGTTGATTAACGGCATTTCCCCTCTGCATATGAATGTTCAGTGCTCTGGACGGCCAGCTATTGTCTTTGTTGATTTGCTCCCCCCCCCCCAGTTTAAGCTTTCCCTCCAGAAGGATGTTTTGAGAAAGGACAGAAGGACTTAGACCTTCCCAAACCCATTTGTCAAGTGGATTACATTTGTGCCCTCCCTTAAAAAGATGCTTTACACTGCAAGAGAACAGTTTTTGTAAATTAATATCATCATTACAAATAAGCTAGCCTCCTTGTCCACCCCCTTTGACTTCTTGCTGTTGCAAGGCTGCCCTGCTGGGCTCCACAGACAGCAGTGTGGGCATGGTCCTGGGGCCCGGGGGAATATTAACTTACAGTGCTTTCCCTACGTTGCTTTTACATGTCTGAAACTATTTCAAAACGTAGCAACCGAAATACAAGTCATTAAATACACTTTACTAGAATAGAAAAAGTTCTTTTGTCCCTTTCTCCTCTTTGGAGCAAAGATGGTTGGGAACGTACTTGGCAGGGCTGCTTCCGAATATCTGCGTTCATGCATAGCCAGAGATTGTAGAAGGAATAAACTAAACTAAAGCTGAGGTCACCGAGGGTTAGAGCCTACATGCAATTTAAATGTTGCCCTAGGATTTTAGTGTTTTTAAAATGAAAAAAAAATTATTTCTTAAGATTTTATTTATTTATTTATGAGAGACCCAGAGAGAGAGGCAGAGACACAGGCAGAGGGAGAAACAGGCTCCCTGATGTGGGACTCGATCCCAGGACTCCGGGATCACGCCCTGAACTGAAGGCAGATGTTCAACCATTGAGCCTCCCAGGTGCCCTCAAGCTCTAGGAGGTTTTTTTTTTTTTTTTTTTTTTTTTTAAGCTCTAGGAGTTTTAAAAGCCATTTTGGTTTATGGACGTCTGGGTGGCTCAGTTGGTTAAGCTTGGGACTCCTGGTTTCAGCTCAGGTCATGAAACAGAGCTCCGCATCGGGTTCTGCACCCCGGGGTTGGACACCATGCCCCATATGGGGCTCCAAGCTCAGCTCAGTGTGGAGTCTGCTTGAGATTCTGGATCTCCATCTCTTATGCCCATTCCCCCCACCCCACCGAAATAAATAAATAAATACATACATACTTTTTTTAAAGACCCCATTTTTATGAGCTCTAGTTGAGTGGAGATACTAGGTATGAGCTGAAGTAGAAAAGAGGGATTCCTTGGTTTCTGGCTTTCAGAGCCACCTGAGATTGTAAAGATGTCCTTCTCCCCTTCTTTCTGGCTGGGCTCTGTCCCTGGAATCAGGTGCCAGATGGAACGGGGGAGGGGAGCTGATTTCCTGGAGCCTCTTGGAGGGTATGAATTGCTCTCCCCTTCTGTGACTGCCCAAGTGTGCCCCAGCACAGACAGGCCTATTCCGCTCCGTGTGTGTTCCCCTGGCTGGGCACCCGGGGCAGAGACTGCCTGGGTGCCGTCACCAGAGGCTGGGAAGTGTCTGTGGGTCTCCAGCAGCTGGAAAAGGTTTGAGTCTCTTTGGCAGATGTTTGCTGTTCCAGCCACTTCATTAATGTTGGAAACTAAACCCCTGACTATTCCTGACCAAAGCCCCACTTTGTGATTGACAGCCGGGGTGTGCTTCCTCCCACAGAAGCCCTTTACAGTCTGAGGGAAGGAGGGAGCGAGTGAAAAGAGAGAAATGGGAGCAAAATGGGAATTGGGCGAGTTGCCATTGCTAGAAACCAAAAATATCAAGAGAGTGGCAAAGACTCATTTGAGGAGAAAGACAGATTCAGTGCAACAAATTAAGATTTGAAGTCCCATCATGTGCTTGGATCTTTTACACACGTGGAATGAGCTCAGCTTCCACGCATTCATTTTTTAAAAAGATTCTATTTATTTGTTTGTTTGTTTGTTTGTTTGTTTGTTTTAGAGGGAGAAAGGGCAGAGGGAGAGAGAGTCTCCAGAGGACTGGGACCTGAGCCCACTCCAGGCTGGATCTCACCCCTGAGATCATGATCTGAGCCGAAACCAAGAGTCCGACACTTCAGGGACTGCCTCCCCGCAGGTGCCCCTCATGCATTGATTTATTTATGACACACTTATTGAGAACCTACTATGTGCCCGGTGCTATGCTCCAGAACACACCAGGAGCTCATTGTCCCGCGGGTGAAATAAACTTGCAAAAGTTAGTGTAGTAAAGGAACCACTGGGCAGAGGTAGGAATCAGCAGCCTTGGGGAGGGGGCAACCTTTCTGAGCAGAGGTGACATTTGAGATGGGTCTGGAGCCAGCTTTTCAGGCTGGGAGGCAGGGAGGGATTGGGCTGTGGAGGGCATTCCCACGCGGGGAACAGCTTGTGTAGAGGCATGAATTACGAAAAGGCCAACCTCGTGAAGTAGTTAGGTATTAGGAGGAGCACTCATCAATGAAAAAAAAAATGAGTCTCAGCTTTGATTATAAGCGACAGAGAGCTCAAAGCTCCAGACTCCAGATCTGGGATCTCTCTCTCCGCGACACCTGGGGCGTGTGCCCTCAGGCCCCCTCTGAGAAAACTGGAAAAGGTGGAAAATCCCAGGAGTTGAATCCAAATTGCTCAGCTCTTTAAAACACCGCCGATTTCAAATCAAAGGACAGTCGGTCTCCCCGGGAGGGAGCGTGTGGGCCAGCCCAGGCCCGGGCCGAGCGCCCGAGCGAGCGGGGAGCAGCGGGCCGGCAGGTGACCCGGCTCTCGGCGCTCCCCCGCCGCGCGGCCCGCGGCCTCCCTCCCGGTGGCGGCGCCGGGGCGCAGGGACACGCGGGCGCGCCTCGGCTCCGAGTATGGAGGGAGGCAAGGAGGAGAGGAAGAGGAGAAGGGGCGAGGGAGGGAAGAGGAGAGCGGGGAGGAAGAGGGAAGCTGAGTTGGAAGATGGAGCGGAGAGGAGAGGAGAGAAGGGGCAGGTCGCAGGCGGAGGGGAGGCGGGAGCGCGGGCAGGAGCGGGGAAGGGACGCGCGGGGTCAGGCGCCCGGGAGCCCCAGCCACCGGGGAGGGAGGCCTGGAAGGAAGCAGAGGCGTGCAGCGGCAAAGGGCGGGCGGAGGCCGGGCCCGGGAGCGCCCGGCGGGACCCGACCCAGTCCACGCGGGGGGGGGGGGGGGCAGAGCCTCGAGGCCATCGCCCCGCGCCGCGGGCTCTCGATGGGTCCCGAGCCCGAGCACCCCGCTCCTCCGCCCCTCCAGCCCCCGACTCTCCGCGCAAAGGGCCGCGCGCCCCTGGGGCCGGTGCCCGGCTCGTGGCGCAGCAGGTCCCTGCCGCGCCCGCGCCCTGGAGACCCCTGGGGGCCCGCACCCGGCGGCGGGGACGGCTGGTCACCCGGCCTGGGGCGCGCCGGACACCTGGCCGCAGTCTTCGCGGGCCCCGGGGTCGCTGCGTGGGGTGGTGGTGGGGGGGACGGAGAATGAACAAAAACAACTTTAAATGGAGAGCAAGGGAGGAGCAGGCGCCCCGGCACACGTGGACGCGTCGCGGAGGGAGATCCGCAAAGTCGCACCGCGAGCCACGGCTGATACTGGGCTCCAACTCGGTTTATTGCTCTGCCTTCTCCAAGTGCCCCCTTATCGGTCCTCCAGGTGCGTCCCATCCGTCCGGCTGCAACCACCCCCGCCCAGGGCCGCGCGGCCTCTTGCCTCCGCGCAGCGAGCCCGCCGCGCCCCGGCCGCCTCCAGGTTCCCAGCCAGACGCCAGCGGCCCCACGGTCGTCCCGGCGCTCCGGCTCCCTCCTCGCCAGCGTTTGCCTCCCTGCCTGCCCCGCGCACAGCAGTTGGGAGACAAAGTCGTGGGAGACCGGGGCCGCCGGGCGGGGAGGCAGGGGACTGGGTGGGGGGCCCCGCGCTCACCAATCCAAGGGAGGGCAGCCCGGGTGCTCAGCGGCTTAGCGCCCGCCTTCAGCCCAGGGCGCCCAGGGCGCGATCCTGGAGACCCGGGATCGAGTCCCACGTCGGGCTCCCTGCATGGAGCCTGCTTCTCCCTCTGCCTGTGTCTCTGCCTCTCTCATGAATAAATAAATAAAATCTAAAAAGAAAGAAAAGAATTCCAATGGAACACACAAGTCCGTAGGGATACTGACTGCAACAGGCTCGCAGGTTGGGGGAGCGCAGGAGGAAGAAGGCAAGGCCCCCACCAAGTACGCGTCTTCGCGGCTCCCGAACCCCGAGCGCGGGCGCGGCCCCCGGAGGCCGGGAGTCGGCGGGACTCCTCCAGCGGGGTGACCCGCTGCGCTCGCCGGTCCTTGCGCGGCGAAAACGGCTTCTACGCGTTAAAACCTAAAAAACAAAAACAAACAAACAAACAAAACAAAACAAAAAAACGAACAACACACGCACACACAACAGAGGACGCACGCTCTGGGGGGCTTACTTTTTCATTTTTACGATTTATTATTGGGATAACGGTCGGGGCAGGGGGCATCGAGGGCTCGGGGTCCCGCGGGGGGCGCGGGCAAGTGTGCGGCTCCGCGCGGGCCGGGAGCGCAGCGGGGTCCGGGGGAGGCCGCGCGGGTCGTCGGCGAAGCCGGGGAGGGCGCGGGGGGCGGGGGGCGGAGACGCACGGGTCCTCGGGGCGCCTGGGCACGGACGCGGCTTCTTTCCAGCGGCGACCCGGCCGCGCCTGCCCCCCAGGCTGCGGGCGCGGCCCCGCCAGGAGGTGCGCGGGGTCGCGTCCCGGGGGAGCGGCGGGGGCGGCGCGCGCTCCCCTACGGCGCGCACCCCCGAGCGCGCACCCTGGGCGCACACACCTGGAGCGCGTCCCGGGAGGGGGGCGGGGAGGAGAGCCGAAGCGAGCGTCTTAAAATAGAGAGGCTGGCAGAGGAGCGCGAGACGCGGCGAGGCGGGAGGCGGGCGAGGCGGGCGCGAGGCGCGCAGGTCGGCGGCCGCTGGCACGGGCGGGGTGGGCGCCGCCGCCCCTCGGCGCGGCTCGGCCCGGGCCCCGCGGGAAGCGCGCGCCGAGTGACAGCTGCGCTGGCCCCGAAAGGCTCCGCGGGGATGCTGGCCCGCGGGTGGGTGTAGACGCGCGGCCGGCGCGCCCGGTGCCCGCTCCCCTCCGCGCGCCCCGGAGCCGGGGCCTGCCCCCGCGCGCGGCCCACGAGCGGGTCAGGCCCCCGGCCGCCGCGCCGCCCGCTCACCATGCACTGCCACGCCGAGCTGCGGCTCAGCTCGCCCGGCCAGCTCAAAGCAGCCAGGCGGCGCTACAAGACCTTCATGATCGACGAGATCCTCTCCAAGGAGACCTGCGACTACTTTGCGAAACTTTCCCTCTACTCCGTGTGCCCGTCGCTGGTCGTGCGCCCCAAGCCCCTGCATTCCTGCACCGGTGAGACGCGCCGTCGGGGTGCGGGGAGGGGAGAGGCTGGGGGGGCGGTCAGCGGGGCGCGGGGCGCGGGGCGCGGGGCTCCCTCCCCGGGGCCGGGGCACTGGAGGCGGCGGCGGGGACCCCGGGGGCGCTCCCGCTCCCCTGCGCAGCCCTGGTTTCCGCGCAGAAAGTTGCAACACTTGCCCGGGTTCAGCGCCCAGCTCGCGGTTGCAGAAAGCGGGGGTGCAGCTCCCCTCGAGCCAGCGCGCCCGACCTGGCCTTGCCCCCTCTGGGGAGCCTGCAGGCCCCTCGTCGTATCCCCCAGGTTCTCGACCGAATCCCGAAATCATTGAACTTTTCACTTGAAAGGCTCTGTCCCTCTGGGGCGGCGGCTCTGGAATCCGTCGCCTTGCGGGCGAAGCAGAGGAGGTCACCCCCTTTTGTTTTAAGTGGCTGAAAAAACAACAGTTACAACAATAAAAACATTCTTCCCGTCTGGTTTTCTCTATCCGCGAGGGCCGAAGACGGCTGGGGAAAGATCAACATTTAATAAACACACTGAGAAAGTCCTAGGTTTATGTGGAAAGTAAATCCAGAGGTTTTTGTTTTTTTGTTTTGTTTTTTTTTTTTTTAAGCTTTGAGTGCGTTAAGAGAAGCTCCAAGTTTCAAAGTGCCCGGGCTTTGGAAGGATTAAGGCTATTGAGAAGCAGGTATAGGTAAGAAAAAAAAAAAGTTGAAGCAATTTTTATCAAAAATAAGTTATCAGCTGTGCTTTCAACTAAAGTTAAAAATTCAAAAAAAAATTCAGTATTTCCAACTAAAAGAAACTTTGAGGTTATGTTTGTTGCACGCGTGCCCTGAAATAAATAATTTTGTTACGACTTAGGTTGAAAAAGTAGAGTGAAGAGCTAGCAGTGTTTTTTTTTAAAAAAGATATTTTTTAGAAGCTTTCAGCCAGAAGCTTCTGGTGCACAGTGCTTAGAATCCTCTATTTTCTTTTGGTTTGAGGTTGTCCGTGGAGCAATCAGTGAATAATATATGTAAATACAGCAAAGTTCTTTTGAAACCAAGTTGTTTCCACATGTATTTGCTTACAAATTAAATACAATATTCAGTTGTGTCTTTGTAAATTAAATTTTATCTGTAAGGTCGAATTAGGACTGATTCAGCCCATCACAAGATTTGCAATATTGAATTTTAAGAATCAAGAACTATATAAGGCGAGGAACAAATAAGACACTTTAGAAATAAGGTATCTATCTATCTATCTATCTATCTATCTATCTTTAATATTTATATTTTTACATTTGTGTGCTGGCCTTGCATGTATAAACCCTTGAACGAATAGTTTGCACATATATGGGATAGGGGAGGTAGGCTGAGTCTTGTATTGAGCATAAGTCATCATTTGGTATGATAACTCAAACCTCTTGGGGGGGGTGGAAGATTTAATCACAAATTGCAATGTACCCTGCTAAGTACATTGCATTCCTGCAGGACCCTTGGACAAAATAGAACGATTCTGAGCACCCAGGTATAGCGCAGGGCCAGCACAATTTGTAGGGCCTTTGTGCTATGCGTTGACCTGAAGGCAGATTTTCCTGGCTTTTAGCAGTTATACAATTTGGATCATAGTAAAAACATACTAAAAAAAGAAAAAAAGCCATAAATAACCCCAGAAAACAGTGATCCAGTCATCAATAGGGGCTGAGTAAGTTCTGTTTCACTGAATCTTGGATGGGAAATAAGTCAGAGGAAAATAAGATGATTCATATGTAGTTTTGAGAATGTTAAGGGTGAATTGCACGTGTATCACGAACTAAAAGTTTTGCTCGGTCTTGTGCTTTTGAAGTTCACTGATGGTTTGGGTGAAAGGGTGGTTGTTGGTAATGATTTTCTTGCCCTGTCATTCCGGTGTTTACTTTCTTTAGAGTGTTCTTTGGAAAAAGTCGTGGTTTTGTGCTAGTTGAGATTTAAAATATAGAAACTGGGATTTGCCAGCGGAATTAAACCCATAAAAACTGGCTACAATAGTCCATACTTTCAGGTCGTAAGCCTTTAGTGGGTTTACGATTACAGTTAAAGCCTTACATGTATTAGATCATGGGAATCCCATTAGTGACTTCTCAAGGGTTTTGCAAATACCACACTTTCAAAGCATTTTTGCTGTTTTTAACAGTTATGTTCAAGATCAAAAAATCTTAGACTGGATAAACTTAATCTTTTATATTAATTAAAAAATGGCATTAAGTTGTTGGCATTCTACATTTAATACACTGTATGTTTTTATGTATACATATATATCTTTTTTGTGTGTGGGTTTTTTTGTATATATGTATATGTATATATATATATTTTTTTTTCTGGATAGGGATAAATATTTAGCACTTTTGGTAGAACTGATGTATAAAAATTTCAAATCAAGTGAAAGGCATACATTGGAATTAAAATTACTAAACTTTCTCTCATCCTTCCGTCTGCTCTTTTTAACATTTAACTACCAGAAGTGAACTTTGCCAGGTAAAATAATGAAATAAGATTTTTTTTAAAAAGTTACGACCTTGCATAATAAGTATATAAAATTGGGGTGGATATAAAGCCACAGCATTTAAAAAGCCTCTATAGAATTAAGCAGTCCACAGTGTTTAGCTTTAGTGACCCAAATCTCCTCAGAGGGAAGAGCATGTATTCAAGTAAACTGAGAAATGGAAACATTTTTCATTTGGCAGATCATCACCTGACGGTAATTTATTATTAGACACTCTAACCTTGATGGAATACTCACCTTCAAAAAAAAATTGTTTGTTTTAACAGGCCCTTTCTTATTACAAATGCAGTCATTTTAGGCTTAGAAGGCTGTCTCTAAATTTATTTAAGTTTCCCAAGAGGTGCGCTTGGGAAACAGTAGACACCGAGAAAGGGAATCCTAGTCTTTGAAGCCAAACTGAAGGAACATTTGTCATTAGATTGAAAATAAAATTTAAAAAACCCAGCCCAAAGAGAGCCTCCATTTGAAAAAAAAAAAAAAACAAACTTGTCACTCGGACCACTGATGAGGTGTGAAATATGTATAGAATTTACTTAGCATGTAACACAGTTTTATTTTAAAATCTGGTAATAGTCCTCCCCATTCAGAATGGAAATATATTGCCATTTAGAAATCAGCTAACAGTCTCTCATCAACTTTAGAACACTGACAGTGATTAGAGGCCAAAAGTGAGGTGCAATTTAGACTATCTTAAATCCATTTAACTCCCGAGTGCATGATTTCATTTTTCTGGTCGTGATTAGTGTTTCTCGGTGGAAGAGTCGCATGAAGGAGTCTGGCTTCTCGGGATGGAGTACGGTGCAGAGACACCGGCAGAGTCATCTCTGAAGGCTCTCCTTTCAGTTTGATCTTTAGAAACCAAGCAGAGTTTGGAAAAGATGAATAACCTGCTTCACAAAAACGAGGATAGAACAATTGATCCTAAGAGTTTTCTTGAGGATGGTGACCAGCCAACCTACTGTGCTCAGGACTTAAAATTTTATTACAGTTATTTATACTTATAACCTAGAATTACCGTAGACTTGCACATGCATGTTTTGGCCGGGGAACGTGGAGGAGGGGAGGGAGGTGAATGCAGATATTTGGACATTTTATAGCCTGTGACCAGCACATGGCTTTTAATTGATCCACTGAAACCTAGAGGCGAATTTCTTTCTCCTGGTCTGGTGGAACGGTTCTCTGGGATCTCCCAGTGATCTTCAGTGGCCAGTCTTCTAGAACCAATGGTGGAGGTACAGAGCTGCAAGGGGTTGCAGAGATCACAGACCCATCTCCCCAAGCAGAATGTACTTTTTTTTTTTTTTTTTTTTGGTGAAGCGCTAGGGTCACATTGTTGCTTAAACGCAGTTTCAGTCCACGCTATACACTTGCCGTCCTTCTTGTTAGGGTACTCGCAAATCAGCAAGGCTTTTCCAACTTGGTTACACACCCGGGATAAATCCATGCAGTCACACCCAAGGGACAGTCAACCAGCCAATTAAAAGGGGCATTTGGGGAAGAGTGTTTATCTTTAAGAGGTGGCGCTGAGAACATTTTATCCTTTGGTGGGTCCAAGAGAAACACGTTCCTTGGGGTGGTGTCCTGGGTTCATTTTTATCACAAAGATTGGGTGTCATCCCAGTGAAAAATGAAATGAGGTGGGGACGTGTGTAATGACTTCTTTGGGAGGTAGGCAGCCAGCTATTGCTTCACGGAGTTGGCAGCAGGGATTCCCCAAATCTCAGCAGGGTCTCTCAGTCTGAGACCAAAGCCCATGGGATCTTGGGAACCTGAGGGTCGAGGACTGGAATGTTAATGGAAAAATGTAAACTGGGGTCCGGGAGAATGATCATTATCAACAGGCATTTGTATTTCTGCCAGAGGCAGATGGGCTTTTATTAGCGATCCTTCATAAGTGCTTCTCCTGTTGCCATTCTGAGGGTGAATAAGTCGAG